TCCGTTTAGTTAGTGACTTTTGGGCAACATGGCGCTCCTCGGTCCTCCGTTTCCCCTCACTGGTGAAATGGTGGGACGAGGGGAAGAGTCGCATTAGGGGGCTCTCTATTCGCTATTGCTGCTCGAGGTCAGCGGCTCGGTCCTGTAATCGGGACCTTCTTGTGCGTCTTGTGGACCATCTGAAGTCTAAAGTTGATGCTGGTTCCATGTCTTGTCTTGGGCCTTATCATTCTGCCCTCTCAGAATTGGCCGTCTTGCACTCTGAGGCTGCTAGGGGCGCTCAGGTTCGGGCTAGCATCAGATGGGTCGAGGATGGTGAGGTTTCGTCTTCCTATTTTTTCCGTCTTGAGAAGAAACGGTTCGCGGATCGCTGGATTTCTGCGCTGAGGGAGAGCAACGGCTCTATTGTCTCCTCTCCTGCTGATTTGTGTCGATTGTTGTCCTCGTTCTACTTAGATCTTTTTACTGCTTCCAACACGGACCCCTGTGCTCAGTTCGCCCTCCTGGGGAACTTGTCATCCGTCCTCCCCGGTGATCAGGCGGCTTTGTGTGAGGGTCATCTGTCGGCTATGGAGGTTTCTTCAGCTCTCCTCGGTATGGCCAGGCGCAAGGCCCCTGGGCTGGATGGTCTGCCGGTAGAATTTTATGTTAAGTTCTGGGATGTTCTCGGTCCAGATCTTGTCTCCGTCTTAAATTCTTGTCTCGAATCGCGTTCCCTTCCTCTTTCTCAGCGCAGAGGCATCATCTCATTGTCTTTTAAGAAGGGTGATCGCCTGGAGCCTCGTAACTGGCAGCCGATTACCCTTCTTAATGTCGATTATAAGTTGGCTTCCCGAGTTATTGCTGGGCGGCTATTCAAAGTAATCCATCTTGTTGTTGCTAAGGACCAGACGTGTGGGGTCCCCAGGAGGTTTATTGGCGAAAATGTCGCGCTCCTTCAGGATGTTGTTGACTACGCCTCCTCCTCTGGCGCCTCGGTGGCCATCCTTTCCCTGGATCAGGAGAAGGCCTTTGACCGTGTAGACTGGTCTTTCATGCAGTCCAATCTGTGTACTATGGGCTTTGGCCCCTCTTTCATTACCTGGGTAGACTTGTTCTACCATCGGGTTCAGAGTGCGGTCAATGTTAATGGCTATTTGTCATCTTTCTTTGGCCTTTCTCGCGGTGTGCAGCAGGGTTGTCCCCTGTCGCCATTGCTCTATGTTTTGGTCTCTGAGGTGCTGGCGGTTAACATTCGCTGTAACCCCCGCATTTCTGGTCTCTGTCTTCCTGGGGCGCTTCAGCGTTCTCCAATCTCCCAGTACGCGGACAATACGTCTCTCATCTTAACATTGGATGATGCCATTGTTGCGGTTTTCAAGACGTATGCCCTTTTTGAGCAAGCTTTGGGTTCGAAGTTGAATCAGTCCAAATCTAAAGGGGCTCTGGCTGGGTGGCTGGTGTGGTCGGGTGGACCTCCCAGTCACTTTGGACTGGTCGTCCTCTAAGCTCCAGGTCCTTGGCATCTTCATCGGTGTGGGTGATTTGGAGGCTGATAATTGGCGCCCCAGGATTGATGCTGTGGAACATGTACTCAATTCCTGGCGTTCTCGCTCTCTTTTGTTTCGTGGCAAGGCCCTGGTTGTTAATGCTCTGGCCCTTTCCCGGGTTTGGTATGTGGCGTCCCTCGTTCACATGCCTCCTTGGGTGCTAAGGGAACTTTCCTTTCTTGCTGTTGTTGTCCAACCCTCGTTGTTTGGTGGTTTTTCGGAGGTCGATGTCAAACTTAAAGTCTGGGCTCTTCTCGGTCAATGGGTGAGGAGGTTCGCCTCCTCCTTTTCTGGCTGGATTTCTTTTATGTGATTTTGGTTTAACTTTCATTTTGGTGCTTCCCCTCTCAACGTTTTTTCCCGGCTGTATTCTTATGACCCCAGGGTCTTGCCACCCTTCTATACGTCTCTTCTTCATGCTTGGCGCGGTCTGGATGGGTCTTTTTCGGTGTCTCATGGTGCTCTCGTCAATGGCACATCTTCCGCTCATGTCTGTTCCCCCGTGTTGATCTCGAGTACCAAGGCCTGTTATCTGTTCCTTTTGTCCGAAAGTATGGTCTCTCCACATTGTGTAGAGAACTTTGCTGGGGCCTATGGTGCTCTAGATTGGCCGGCCACTTGGCATTCCCTTTTCTTTTTTGATCTGGATCGTCAGGTGGTCGACCTGAGTTGGAAGGTTGCTCATGGGGTTCTTTATACTGCGCAGCGTCTTGGGTCTTCCGGGTTGCCAGTTCCTCTCTCTTGCTTTTGTGGGGCTCCTGTGGAATCCTTGGAGCATGTTTTCTTTTCGTGTCCTTTGGCTCAGAGTGTTTTGCCTTGGCTTCAATCTTTGCTGTTTGCTTTTTCCCCTATGTGTTGATACTCTAACCCTAAGAAATTGTTACCCTAACCCTAAGAAATGGTTACCCTAACCCCAAAGTCGTTACCTAACCCTAATGTATTTTCCCCAACCCAGTTAACACATTGAGGAGCATCGATTTGAAGCACTATTCCCCAGGGAGGGAAGGGAGGGGTCTCTAGAGACATAACGTGTCCTAAAAACCTATCATACAATGTTTTAGGTCCGTAGGTGTGTTTATCTGGCTTTAAAATCTTACAGTGAGGAGATACCAAACGGGTCAGCCTCTGGGACCGTCTGTGGGACTCGCAAGGGCTTGTGGGGACGACCTGCTACTATCCACCATAAACCGTGGGAAGGATCCCTCGACCACCCCCCTCACCCAGGGCATGCTTCGGCATCGCTTCTCGGCCTTTTGGCTACATCAGCCAACAAGTAAGTGCTTTTTATTGTTGCTAAGTGCGATTTTTCTCAGCTTTTTTTCGCTTCGTGAGCGATATAGTTTTCCTTAGAGATATGGATATATGTGATAATGAGATGCCTGTGACTGCTGTTAATGAATTGAATAATGAGATGCCTGTGAGTGCTGTTAATGAATTGCCCGAAACGAGTGCAGATGATATGGAGAATGTTGAAGACCGCGATGTTGTGAACGGGGAATCGTACACGTCACGGGCGGCGAGGACTGTTTCTTACGAGTACCCACCACGACAACAGAGAGCTCTGTATTCCGAAAATGTTATGCCATAGCGGCCAAGAACTGCTTTTTTCACACCGAGCAAGAACACGACGGCCAAGTCGGTCTTTGAAGCTCTTGAGAAAGCCGAAATCGACGCAGCGGAGATCGCATGCTTCCAACGAAAAATTAATGGAGAGGTCACCGTTACCTTTAAATCTATTTCAGCAAAGGAGAAATTCCCCCGCCTTAACTCGCTGCAAGTAGATGCCGAGCATTTTGCTCTTCAAGATGTGGACAAACCGTTGTCCTTTCTCACCATTTATGACGCTCCCTTCGAGCTTTCTGACCTTGCTATCATTAAACACCTCTCGCCATACTGTGAAGTCTTACATTACCGTCGGGGTAAACATTTCTTGGCTCCAAATATTTACAACGGCCTCCGTCACTATTGGGTCAGGATCTCAAAACCGATCGCCAGCTTCCTCCGTTTTGGTAAATTTCAAATCTTTGTTAAACATAATTCTCAAGTCCCTACGTGTCGTAAGTGTAATTGTCCCAGTCATTTTAGGAACGTGTGTCCTAATCGTGTGTCCTGCTCTTCTTTCTGACTCTCTCAACCGTTTCCAGACGTTCCTCTTCTCCTGTTACTGCAAAATCGACGCCTTCTGTTCCTTCTGAACCTGTTCCCGATCCCCCTTCATCGTCGCCTGACTCCTTGGATAACGGTATGGACGTCACCGTCGATTTAAAGAGGAAATCGGCGGACGCGTCTCTGAAGCGCACAAAGAAAGGGAAGAAAAAACCTGCTCATAAGTGAGTTTAGTTATCATGCGTGAGTCTTTTTTTCCAAGAGTTTTCTTTTTAAGCTTTTAACTGTTAATGCAAGGGGCTTTGCTAACCCCCTTACTCATAATTCATGAGCGATAGAGTTTTCAGTCAAGAAATGGAAGATGGTCATAGTGAAATGCCTGTGACGATCGCTAATGAGATGCCTGGGGAGAATGAGATTGCTGTGGATAAACTATTTGCGGTTCGGCAAATACCAGATCTATATCAAATATACCTCGCAAATTCCCACTTGCTGAAAGTGCAACCTTCCTGGGCATTTTAGCAATGCATGCCCAAACAAAATCTGCTTCATCTGTGAAAATATCGGCCACAAAGCCCGATATTGTAATCTGCCGACGCTCTGTTGTATATGCAAAGAGGAAGGACATCACGGCATTGGTTGCGACTACTCCTGGTTTTTTCCCTGTACCCGAGGCATTTCTACGGATGAGAATACCGATGTGGCCATTGAATCCTCGGATGATGGAATGAGTGAATACAGCCGAGACGAAGATTACACGTCTCTCGTCTCTGTCCCACCCGCATCGGATGAAACTATCGGACCTGCCGAAATCGAAGAAGCAACAGCTGCTCCAGCTGCTCTCGACCCGCCTTCCACTGCTACACTCTTGCCTTCTTCTTCTGACGATTCTCCGTCCCCTAATATTCTAGATTCTCAAGGCCTTTTAATTCCTTCCCCGCCGAAACCGCCTCCCCATTGAGTGCCTGCCCGTCTTTCTTCTCTTTCTGATTCCCAGAACAGGGAAACTGTAACGGACTTAAAGAGAAAATCTTCGGATTCCTCGCCGAAACGCGCTAAGAAAGGAAAGAGTAAAGCTAAGAAAGCTCCCAAGTAAGTGTTTTGGTTTTTGAGTGTCTTTTCTGAGCCTTTCAAGCTTCTAACTGTGAATGCAAGGGGTTTTGCTAACTCCCTTACTTACAATCTATTATTCGATTTGATCGAGACCTCTAATTGTGATGTTTGTTTCGTTCAGGAAACTTTAATTAGTTTAGAATCTACCATAAGTCCCTGTCTCGCAGATGGCTGGGCCGAAGTCTTTGGTCTCCGGCCTCTGGTAGACAGGGGGGTGTCGTCACTTTGATCTCGTCGAGATGTTCAGACGAAATGGTTTCTTGGAAAAAAGACTCACACGGCCGTATCGTCAGTTTGTTGGTCAGGAGCAACGATGTAGATGTTAATTTAGTTAATATTTACGCTCCCACTAATCTTGCAGAGCAAAAGATTTTCTTTGATTCTCTTCACGATTTTTTTATTCCATCTTCTGCGATCATCATCGGAGATTTTAATTGCTACGATAATGCCTTAGATAACTTTGGTGGAAATGTTTCTATTCATAAAGAATATGAATCGTTGAAAAATGACACCACCGGGATCAAACGCGGCCCGGGTGTTTGGAATTTGAATAATTCTCTGCTGAAAGATAAGGATTTCTGTACATCTATTGAGAAATTGATTGATTGTCATTTACTTTTTTGACCGTCTTTTGCGAGTCTCCAGGATTGGTGGGAGTTCTTGAAACTGTCCATCAAAGAGGAATCGATCGTCTTCTCTCGCAATAAGCAGAGACGTTTACGTAAAGAACAAGTGTTCCTAACGAATAAATTAATTCGTCTCCGTCGACGTCTAGTTGATGGGGACCACACCGTCTCCGTTTTGATTTCCGATCCAGAAAGTCGATTGAAAGCTCTTCGCGTCAAAGAGATCGAAGGTATCATGATTCGTAGCCGTGCACAATGGCTGGAGGAGGGCGAACGGCCCAGGTACATTTTAATTTGCAAAAGATTAGAGCTCAGAGATCTCACATCTCTTTAGTTTACGATTTAAATGGCACTGAAGTCTCCTCTCAGGAGGAGATCGAAAAAGCACATGTTGACTTTTATTCGAGGCTCTTTTCCGAGGAGCCAGTTGACGCAGCTTTGCAAGATGATCTTTCATCCTCGTTGTCGCGTCAACTCTCTTCCAATCAAGCGTCGTCTTGCGAAGGCCAGATGACGCTTGACGAAATGACCCTTGCACTAGGAACCATGAACGCTAATAAAGCACTTGGCCCTGACGGCCTTTCTGTGGAATTTTATGGCAAATTTTGGGATCAGCTAGGTCCGTACCTGTGCCGTGTCCTTAATGCTTGCTATCGTGTTGGGGAGATGTGTGAGTCTATGAAGACAAGTAACACGTGCGTCATCTTTAAAAAAGGTGATCACAAAAATTTGAAAAGCTGGCGACCAATTTCTCTTCTGAATGTCGATAATAAAATTTGCTCCAAAGTTCTTTCTCTCCGACTATCTAAGGTTTTAGAATTTATCGTTGATCCTGACCAAACCTGTTCCGTGCACGGACGTAGAATTACATCGAATTTACACGTTCTTAGAGATGTTTTAGATTATATCGATCGCACTAATGAAACCGGCATTTTGATTAGCCTTGATCAAGAGAAGGCCTTTGATCGTGTTAATCGCACCTTTTTGTTAAATTTGTTGTCCCGTTTCGGTTTTGGTCCATCCTTTTGTTTTTGGATCAATACCTTATATAATGGCGCCAATATGCGCATTATTGTGAATGAGTGGCTGTCTGACGCGATACCTTTATCCCGCGGGGTGAGACAGGGAGATTCCCTGTCTCCCCTGTTGTACATTCTTTCCGTTGAAACTCTTGCGTGTAAGATCCGAAATAATCCCAATATCGAAGGCTTTCTCCTTCCGGGCGCACGAGGTTTATGTTACAAAGTTGGTGTGTATGCTGATGATGCAACCTGTATTGTAAAGTCCTATTGCTCTCTCTAATGTTTGTTTAGAATGATTAATGTGTATGAGGGTGGATCTGGAGCTCGTCTCAATGTCACAAAAACGGAGGCCATGTGGCTGGGAGCATGGCGCTCTCGCGGCGACCAGCCGCTTGGCCTCAAATGGGTGACGAAAATGAAAATTCTAGGTGTTGTTTTTGGACAAGATACCGACACAGATAATTGGCGACCGAAACTCGAGAAATTAGAGAAACATCTCAATCTCTGGAAATCTCGCTCTCTCTCTCTTGTTGGCAAATCGCTTATAATCAATGTTTTGGGAATTAGTAAACTTCTGTATCTTTCTGCCGTTTTGTGTGTCCCTAAATGGGTTATTTCAAAGGTAAACAATCTAGTCTGGCCTTTTCTCTGGGGATCTCGAATTGAAACGGTTAGCCGGATGACTTGCCATCAATCCCTAGGGAAAGGTGGTCTTGGCATTTTTAACTTTCAGACCAAAAGTGACTCTGTTAAGTTAGCTTCCCTTATTTGTAACCTTGAGGATCGTGAATCAAAGTCCTTTTTTCTAACCAAATACTTTCTTGGTTCTCGACTCGCTTCTTGCCGTCCGGAGTGGCGTTCTCTTCGCGATAACTCCACTCCAAGTGCGCAAAATTTGACACCTTATTATGAGAAATGTTTTTTGGTTCTCACCACTCTTCGCAGGATTATTTCCCGCCAAGAGTGGCAGGATTTTGTTTTCTCCTCCAAGAGGTGCTATTCAGCTCTCTTGAGAGAGAATTCTGCTTCACCGATTCTGCACCGTTTCTGGTCTTCCTTCCTCCTGATTGATTTTGATCTCGACCTCTTCTGGGATTATGTGCGGGATGGTTTCTCCGAAAACTATAAGAACGACATCCTCTGGCAAATTGTCCTTCACGCGGTTAAAGTGCGCGACTCTATGAAAAAATTGGGGGTATATTGATTCTAATAAATGCGTGTCTTGTTCTCGTAAAGAGACAATTGATCATTGTTTTCTGAATTGTGTTCGTGTGAAACGTGTGTGGTCCTTTTTCTCTCCTGTCCTCTCTTCTCTTCTTGGTAATGTGTTTCTACCGTCTTGTACTCGTGTCTTCTTTTTCCGTTGGGCTCCCGTCACCCCTAAAAATGGTCAACTAATTCCTTTTTTAATCAAAACGATCCTGTACGGTATCTGGAAATTTCGTAATAAAGCTACTTTCCATAATGGAAATGATACCCCTGAGGGTATGATCCGTTATATCCTCAGCGATATCAAGAACAGAGTAGCTTGCGATTATTATCGGCTTACTTTCCCCGATTTTAAAAATTGCTGGGAAGCTCCGGGTTTGTGCCGCTTGAACTGCGACTCTTACAAACTGCTGCTGTAAATATTTCTGTAAATAGTTATTTAGGTTAAGTTAGGTTAGTATTCTAATATTAGGTCCTATTGTTTAGTTTTCTTCTATTATTGGCTTTAGTTAATCTTACGATTTATCTAGTATATTAGTTAAGTTTATCAATATTTAGGTCTAATATTTAAGAGATCCTCCCTTTGTAAATATGGACCTGTCATGGACTTTGTTTGGACTTTATTAGTATCTAATTAGTATTTTTCTGGACTTTGGAACTTTTTTCGATTAGCTAATATGGACGTTATTAGTATTTAATTAGTTTTTTTTTTCTGGAACTACTTTCGATTAGTAATTAATTAGTAAGGGCCAAGCCCACGTGCGTTCCGCACTTTTATCCTGTACATAATGATTTATTCCAAATAAATCTTTTTCAAAACTTAAAATCTGTTCTTATCAAGCTCCCCAGACAAGGGAAACTACTTTGGCCTGGTGAGTAAACTATAACTTATGATGGAAGTTGACATGCAAGTGTCAGATTTACAAGATATAGCGTCACGAGAATACGGGGAGCCTTCTTCCCCGATTGGAACCGGATTTTTACCAGAAAATTTTATCCCGCGCGCTTCGATTGATCCGCCAAGTTAAGCAGCAGCTGCCCGACCACCACTTAATGACAACCAGAATTTTATTCCCGCACATGATAAGGAAAACGACCTCCCCGATCGCCCATGTTCTGCCTTTCTGAACCCACGGTGTTTGTTTCACGCCGGATGAGTTTTTTGAGTCTCCAGCTAGCACAAGTGGATCCACAAACGATGTCTTGCATTTAACGCCAATCTAACCTTCCGAGGAGTTTCTCAACACAATGCTTTTCTCGCTAAAAGTGTCCTACAGATTAATGGCCAACCTTTCGCCATACAAGATATTGACCGCCCACTAACCTATCTAGAGATCTTCGATTGCCCATACGAAATGCCTGATTCCACCATAATTAATCGCCTGGAAAAGTACTGCAAAGATATCCAGTGTGATAGTGATTTGCGGTATCATACAAAATGCTGCTCAGATAGTGATAAAATGTACCATATCCTTGCTAGCTCACCTTGTACATAGATACGTTGTGGACTGTGGACTACCCAGTTTTTTTCTTTGAAGCATCATTTGATCTTTTCAATTCCTTATTCGTTATTGCAGGAATTTATATCTTTACAACAGTCAACTTTTACTGAACTCTAAAATTACACCTAAGAGGAAGAGACGTTCCAACTAGAATAATTTTAAACTGAATTTTTTTAAATTTCAATTGTAATAGTATCAGAAGTCAACATTAAAGTGTTCTTCTAAAAACTTCTAACAAAACCCTTAACTCTGAGAAGCCTCATATTACTCGGGCTGTGAATCAAAGTTGGACTCTTCAATTTCCAGCAGTGAGGTTTTCCCACTGGATTAAGAGATCTTTCCTAAGGACAGAATAAGCAACAATCCTGGTGGAGGAGTTCTTATCACTGTCTTAATACTATTCTGGCAACACACCAACCAAACCTTGACAATCAAACAGAAGCCACCTAGGTAAAATAGTATTTGTCAAGCAAAACCCTCTACATTGAGCATTTATTTCTCGACCACCGGGATGCCAAGAAGGACCTCGTGATGTGCTCAAACTATCTTGGCTCTCTCTTCAATCCAATGGATGCCCACGTGTTGTACTTGCAGGTGATTTCAATGTACCAGATATTATGTGTAACGGTTATCAGTATCTTCAAATCCACAATACACCCTATTCTTGAGTCTTTCTTTAAAAGCTTTCTTAGCTAGAAATCCTAAGGACCACTCCATTGAGGAGAATTGGAAATTCATTAAAGCTGGTCAAATGGAAATGCTAAACAAGAAAGTTCCCAAAAAGAAATTGGGTACATGGAGGGACATCCCATAGCTCACAAGAGATTTAAAGATTGTTCAGGAAGAAGAAAAGACTTTATAATGCCAACAAGAGCTTAAGCAAACCAGATGACAAACAGAAACATCATCAGTTTCAAAAGGATTTAAAAGTGAAGTTACAAGAGGCTCAAGGCTCAAGATGATGAAAACATTGAACACTGATTATGATGACGATGGCCAGTTCCTAGAAATACATGACTACTTCCACTTTGATCTGTTTCTCAGTGAACAACTTTATGACTGGTGAGTAACAGTCAATTTTATTTTGGTCACCCTGCGAATGACACAACTCAATCGTGGCAGCGGTTTTTTGCACCAGCACTCTGTGCACAATAAACTGTAGAGTAATTGTCTAGGCTTTGCTTGTATATAAAGATCACTTAAGTTAAGTAAAGAATTGCAGGCTTAAGACTTAACCTTAGATCATTTAAGTCAAAAACATTCTG